CCGTAAGTCTAATACAGTACTGTAATTTTATACATTTCTTGTGAAAGAAACATTTCTTATTCAACGGCGATTAAAATTATTTATATTAATGATGTCTCCGAAGTTCTACGAAGTTTTCACAGAAAAATAAGTTGTTAGAAATCGGCCGCTCTTTGCTGAGCTGTTCCGGCGACGAAAACAATGTTGAGCAATGGCAATGTCGAATGGTACACTCGGTAAGTAATCCTACAATTTTTTGTTTATAGCGTAGTTTATACGGATTATTTCCCAAAAAATATATACGTATTTTGGAAATGTTGAGTCGGATTAGTCTAGAATCGATTAATTTTATGGAAGAAAATCTTTCAATCAGCCGTAGTCCGTAAACTTCACACGTGTCAGGCTGTGATTGGAAGGACTCGTAAGAAATCAGATTAAAGAATGGAACGTGTCTATGATCTTACAGGGGGGTCGACATGTATGTATATTTGTTTTAATATGCAAATGCAAATTAATAAAATACTTGAGTAAATAATCGGACAGAAAATACATATAAAAACATGTAAAACTTAAATGTTTGTAACAAACGGTGACATCAGATGATAGTCAAATTTGAATTGTCATCATATGCTAACACACTTAAAATGTGCGTGATCTGTCTTATCTCATTTTTTCGGATCGAAAATTTCTGTAATTCTCAAATAAAATTAAGATAATGTCATAATTTTATTCGAGAATTACAAAAAAGTTCGGTTAATTCAAAGTCGTATTTTTTTGCTTCCTTGAGTTTCGAAATAACAAAGTCTTACTGTATCCAGAGGCGTCTGACCTAATGAAGATTTTCTTCGTTATTAATATTAATAAACTCATCCCTACCCTCGAAATTAGACTTTCTACCATTATATAATAATTTCTGTACAGGATGTCAAGTCGCAACAGTCATCAACCGATTGTTCCCGTCATGGGCTAGTTCGAGCCCATGATGGATGTTAAAACTTATCTTAATGCCTACATGATGTAAGTGTCAAAAATAAAAGCAGAATCAATTAATTATGGATTTAAAAAATCTATGATCACGGATATATCCGAATAACCACATATCTTAGAAAAGTGGAGATTTCTTCGCATTTGATTTTTTATAATTTGAGTTTATTCCACAAAATTGGTTAATAGACTTATACGAAAAAACTTATATTTTCTTCATATATTTAAATTATCGTATATTATCCTTGAAGTCAGAGTTTTATAATTTTCTCGGGATTGAATCAAATACGTGGGCCGTTCATAGCCCGGCACACATATTTGTAAAATCTAAGTGACTCGTACAATATGGAATTCATATAAAACGGAATAATCAACAGTGTTATAGGGGGTCGACTGTAATGCACATTAAAACTCATAATGAAATACTCCGTTTTCAGACTGCCAATACAGTATAACAAATGCGTAATGAAAAATTCAAATCTTTTCTCTAATATAATTTATTAAAATACTAGCAGATAAGCCTGGCGTTGCTCGGGCAAAAATAATGATAGTGAAGATTAAGATTATTAGATTATAGCCGATCTTACCCGTTTTCACCGGCGCAAGAATTAGATCTCCCTCTTCCGAGACTAATTAAAGAATTTTTAGATGGTCTAAAGATACGTTCGATTTTCTGAAAAAACGCAAAAAAACCGCATCTAAAATAGTACAGCAGAAGCAGAGTTCTTCAAGGTAATCCTTAATTTCTCGATGATACCGCGTATTATAAAATCGCGTCAAATACAATGGTAACTCGGTATTCGATCAAAGAATCACGATCAGCTAAAATAATCTTCGGTTAATAGAAATATTTTTATTTTATCATCATTAAAAAAGTTTTCTGTAATAAAAATAAGTAACTAGTTTTAAAATAAAATAAACTTTTAAAACTCCCTTGGGAATTAAGAAAAGGGCATCCCGAGGACAAAGGGTAACACATGCCCTAAGAGCCCTAATATACTTTAAGGGTGCTAATTCTATCCACCGATTTTATTCAGTTTGGCCTTGATGAAATTACCTGAAAAATGTGTGTGCATTAGACCCCCTATAATTACGGTCCCTATAATTACGATTCCTATAAAACTGCGAAAAAATTGCGACGGTATCTGTAAAAAAAAGGTAAAAAAACTTCTATAATTACGTAAAACGTCATCGGGCAGCAGTACTATTTTCCGCTGTCAAGTGCCAAGCTACGGAGAGTTTGCTATCGTCTGTACAGTATTATATATAAATTAGGTACTGTACATATAATTATATATTAATTATATATAAATTAGGTACTCTATATATAATTATATATTAACTTAATTTATTGTAACTTTATTATAATTATATATATACTTTCTGCCGCCTGGCAACACGC